TCGAAAAAGCGAGAGAAATCAAATGAGTTTGCGCCGGAGTGACAATGGAGTTTCGCGACTGTAATCAAGCTACTACGAGTGGCGCGGGAAAAAGGACCGTCGCGGAGGGGACGTCCTCCGCATTTGAATTTCCACGCAAAAGGGAACGGGAGCTGCTACCGATAGCGTCTAGAAATTGTCCGCGGCGCGACGTGCCGATAGAGACGTTCGAATTAAGCGCGCGATGCGGACCCTTAATTAAACACTCGAAATTGAGCCGTCGATTAAATGCCCTATCTACGGCGAGAACTTGTATTCTTCTTAGCGCGCATGAACGAATCTATGAACGGACGAATGAACGAATGAACGAACGTACGAATGAACGAACGAACGAACGAACGAACGAACGAACGAACGAACGAACGAACGAACAAACGAACGAACGAACGAACAAACGAGAGGACGAACGAACGAACGAACGAGTGAATGAACGAACGAACAAACGAATGAACGAACGAACGAACGGAATGAACGGAAAGGCCGGAACTATCACTCGCGTATACCGCGCGCGATGACATTTCGCCGGGGAATGAATAAAAGATCGCGTGCGATAGAGCGTAAAAATGCGTGGAAAATGTTGCCGCGAGATCACCGTGTGTGTGTGTGTGTGGGTGTGCGTACTTTTAATGTACCGCCGTTTAAATCAGTCGCTATCGATTTTCTGTTTGGCAAAAACCTGATGGAAGCGTGATGCGCGGCCCGTCCATCCGTTTAACCCTTTCGTTCCAAATAGCACACATGCAGGTTTGCGCCCCGTCGGGAGAATAGTCACACTCCCACGAAATAACAATGAAAACGATATCAGAACTTGATTCTGTAGTTAATAAATTAAACGCATATACAAAAGAAACAGAAGATTCGCTGCGTTTCTACTTTTCGAATATCGAAATCGTGCCCAAAAATCGTGTCTATATCTCTTCTCTCTTCGTCGTCAAGTCGTCTTCTCTCTTTTGGTATCGCCGCGGTTGATTTTTAATCTGTCCTTTCCTCCTGTTATTTTCTCGTCAGTATTGTTAATAATATCGAAAAAAAAAAAAAAAAACATTCGGTACACACTATTCGTTCGTTATCGTTTGTGCAACCAATTGTGCCTACGGGCACTTCTCAATCTCGTGATCGACCAGTCAAAAACACGTGGTGAACCTATATGATTCGCTTGTCGGCATCCTGACTATTTGTATTTCTTCGCGATGTAAGCGAGGGCGTATAAAGTCAAATCTCAAGGCGGGTTTCCGAGAGGCGGCGAGTAAAGGAAAAGGGCAAAGAAATATAAGGATCGCAGTTCGGGAAACGAAGAACAAAGCCTCTAAGATTAGACTCGTATATAATTATATCACAAAGCGTAAGCGTGGTTCTCCAAAACGTTCGAAAGCTTCTTCCCCACGCCCGAAGATTACTGCGTTTATATTTCATAATTCCGCAACTCTCTATTGGTCCACGTCTCCTTTAGCTTGGAACGCGTCTCGTCATCGCAAATCTAAACAATAATGCGAGACCTCTGTCTCGCAACACTCTTTTCTCAGGCGATGAATCACGCTGAAATGTTTTCCGCTTTCGCCGCTTATATCCGTCTCCGCACGCATCTAACGTTTGTTTTCGTGTGATCGCCGTTATCTGCTTACAGCAACGACTAACGATCGAAAGAAATATGTTTATATTGCGCAAGAGACGCTAGAGATCGCTCATAAGCAGCGTGCGTGTTCACCTCTCTTTAAAAAATAGTTGAGCCTCGCGAGTTTCTTTTGTACTTGTGTCTGCTTCACGATAAAGGATAAACACGACAAAGAAATAATACTGCACGAAATTACGATTTTAAAATATTAATTGAATCTACACGTAGGTGCCATAAATATTTTAAATCAGTCGGTATATGTACCAGCTGGATTTTCTTCCACCGGTACCATCCTCCCCCCCCCCGCTCACTCCCAAAAAATAATTTCATTTCTTTCGCTAATAATTTTCAATTTGACTTTGAAACAGCTGATCACTGTCTTATATCTTCGATTTGAGGGGAAAATTTATATTCAGGGACGGAAGGGTTAAAGTTCACTGTCGGAGAGACATCTTGATCCAGTTCCATTAATTGATCCAGTGATAAAGATCGTCTTAAAATAGACGGACAAAGTACAAGTCTGTCGAGGTATGAGCGAGATTTTATCGTGCCTCGTTACGTCACAGAAGTAACGTTGCAGCGGGAAATTCTGCAAATGTGCAGAATGCCAGCGTAAACGCAGCTACAATGCGGTGCAAGAGCGGAAAGTGGGGCGAGCCACGAGCGTCTTTCACTGTTAAAGATGCATGCGAGCGTGTAACTAGGATTGCGTACTCCACCCTAATGGAAAACTAAAGAAAAGCGATCGCGATCCAGCCTCGACGTAAGCAATTTGCGTTGCCCTCAACCTTGACGCAACGACTCTTCGCCGCGTGTGGAAGCACACAAGTCCAGCAAACAAATCATACAATCGCGACAAACTGAAACCTCACTTATCGACGAATCGGGGAAGAGAAGAAACTTTCGTCGATCTAAAACACGTCACGTAACTTCTCCCGGCAATTTTCAGCGAACGATATTTTAAGAGCGATATTAATGCCGTGAATGCCTGTGTCCACCCACGCCGATGAAATCTTAACCCGAGTTCAAGCTTGTCTTGAATAGAGTTTAGCCTTAAGTCAAGGTTCAATCGACGAGCAGGTGAGAAGGGCGTAACTAGCGTTAGAATCGGGATTATCTCGCGATTGATAACGGAGGGGAGAAGCCGCATCGCGCGCTCGCGTCAAACGCGAGCTTTCGCTCCCGGCTAGTCCCGGGCCGTGACCGGAGGGCATCTACAAAATGCAGCGTAACTTTATTAATCCTGTCGTTTAACGCGATAAAGCTCGCGCGAGAGTTCACGCGTGACGCGGTAATAGCTCTGAGATGGGGGACGGTCGTCTCTCTATTGTGGCTCTCGCGGCACCGGACCTGCCGTTTTCGCGCTACTGCCTCCGCGCGCACATAGAAGCTCCATCGCAAAAGCGAGAGAAGAGGAAACACGCCGCGCACTCGCGGAATACGCGGACGTGCCGTCGCCGCGCGGCGGCGTTTCCGCGCGGTCCAGCCGCGCGATGTATCGCGCGCCGCTCCTTTGTTCGCTCGCGCTCGCGCGGGCGCAGCCGAAAGTCACCGAAAGCGACTCGGGGCGAGGAATAAAAGCAGCGGGATCCGTGGCAGGCGGCCCGCCGTTTCACGAAGGGAGCTTTACTTTTCCGCGCTTTACACACGCATTAGTCTCGTCACGGCGTTTTTCGTCCCCGCCAGCTGAGTTTCCTCAGCCGGAAACGCGAAGCGCCGCGGCGTCTTGGCGCGATGCCGCCGTCGCCGCCCGCGCGCGCCACAGCGGAAAGATCGAAAGAAAATATTTATTATGTCCTCTATTGTGAAGGATGCACAGGGACGACGACGACGACGACGACGACGACGTCGTCGACAGCAGCGGCGACGGCGAGGCGTCCTCACCGTAGCAAACTTTAACGACATTCCCTTTGAAGAATTTCCCGACCGATGTTGTCTTTCGTTAGCGAAAAAGCCGGAGGTCGCGGTGCGCTTAGTAGCAAGCATTTTGTTCATTTGTCGTCTTTGCGCTGGTTGCGTTCGGCTGGTTCTCTGTATATGAGGCTAAGCTTAATAAATAAATAACGTTGAAAGTCAAACGAAGAACGAGAGGTCTCTTCCTCTCTCTTCCCGCGTATTTGGAAACTTGAAAATTTGACTTACAAGAAGCCATTTATTTTAAGCTACCCGAAGTTTCGGTATCGCGAGCTGGCGTTTTCGCGTTTTCTTCGACGGAAGATTATGTTTTAACACTTTATACGCGGGCGATGGAGTTCCATGTTTACTTTTATTTTATGGCGTTTATCTGCGGGCAACGGAAAATTCCGTTTATACTTGATCTGTGCATTTTCTTTTTTAAATACCTCCACAACTGGAGGATTAACAATCTCGGACCGAAAAACAGTATTATCGATCTGCGAAGCAGATTCATCGTCGGAATACGAATCGTAATTGCGAAAGCAAAACTCGAAATATTCCGCATACAAAGTGTTAATTCACCGAGAAGTGTGCCGCGGACATTAAATGCTATTATGATCGCATACACTTGGGAAATGTGTCGTGCAACAGAAGTATTTGCCACGTTGTATAATAGGTAAAAACAAAAAAAAAAAATTATTTCACGTTTGACGAGAATTCGCCGATACTACTGGAGTGGATTGCCTGAGAAACTCACACGGCGATTTCTAATACACGCAACGTTATGTTCGTCATTCCGACAGAAGGAACGACGTAAAACGCGCTTGCAAAACTCGTTTAAAAGAAATTCATCTCGTCGAGACGAGAAAAGTTCTTATCGCCTCGTGAAATTTATTTCAAGCGCATGCCGCAAGACCGCAAATAGATAGTGCAATAAGAGAGATAACACAAGTTATTTAGATATTTCGCGTCGCACTATGTTATGAAGTTTCCCAAGCAGAACCCCATCACAGCAGAAACCCATCGCCCTGACATCATCGCGCGCGCCGCGATGACACCGATTAAATTAGAATAAAAATCGAAGAAAAATGCTGCACGGGTATCGCGACGAAGTCGCGATCAGACTTCAATGTCCCGATGAGCGGTCGGAGTCAAAAGATACGAAGGACGTCGTGTTGTTCGTCCGCAAGAACAAAGGAGTACAACAGATACATTGTGTTATTTTTTCAATGCTTCGCGGGATCACGCGCTACTACGTACATCTCGAGCGATCGTACCTCGCGCGCACACACACACACACACACATATCACACACGCACGCGCACCTCGCACACACATACAAACACCCAGCCAGGCAGCCATGTAGGCTGCACGGCGGCCACGTTTTCCGGCTTTCCCAAGGACGTCCGGGGTGAATCTCAGGCCGATGGACGGCTCGCACGCGACCACTTACCTGTCATCGCGAGGAGAACGACGAGCGCCTCTAGCCACAGGTGGCGAGTCTTCATCTCGATAGCGCCGTGCAAAGTCCTCAGGGTGGCGGTGAATCCTCCTTGCTCACGACCGGCTTCCGCGTACACAGACACGCACTGACACTGTGTACTTGCGCGGTATCCTCCGCGGCAGTTAAGTCGCGCAAACGTAACTCGGCAGAACTACCCGGCACCACATCTGCTCTGTTACTGACGATCTTTTATTTCGTTGCTTAACGTCGCCGATTCGACGACTCGTCGTCTTTATCTTCGTTTTTGTCGTCGTCGTCGTTACTCTCGTCGACGTCGACGTTGTCGTCGTCGTCGTCGTCGTCGTCGTCGTCGTCGTCGTCGTCGTCGTCGTCGTCGTCGTCGTCGTCGTCGTTGTCGTCGTCGTCGTCGTCGTCGTGTCGCACACAGAGACGCGGGATCGACGGGGCACACTCGACGTTACCACTCGATGCACGTTACTGGAATGAGACGCGTCGCACCGGACGACACGCCGTTCATCGAGGGAGCCGTCAAACTTTTCACTGGTCCCTACGCTTCTCACGCGACGCACCGAGAGAGCGCTCGATTCAAAATCGCTGTGCCGGAAACGCTTGGATTTATGTCCGCGCGCCGCGAACTTACCCCCCGTGCGGCCGCACTCCTGCGACTCTCTTCTTTCTCCCTCAATTTCGCTCGCTACCACCCCTTTCTCCAGTCCTCCCTAGGCTGTACTTTTGCGTGTACGTATATGTCTTTCTTCCCGTTTATTTTTTTCTTTTTCCTTTTATTCTTCGTTATCTTCCCCTCTCTCGGACGAGAGCGACGTCGCCGGGCGACGGTAATCGCGATCGACGGCGGCTCGCGTGCGTTATCGATTACCGCGTGCCAACGAGCGCGGTCACGAGAACACGGACGGCGATTTTAAGCACTGTTGACAAGGTAATTGCACGTATATCTGCACTGGATTGCGACGGACGAGACTGAGCGTCGCCGCGCGAAGCCGTTCTGTCGCGAGTCGCGCTTGCGTCGGCCGCCCTTTCATCCCCACCAGAAGCTCCGACGATCTCTCGCCGCGCTTCTCCACCCCGCGATCCTATCCGCCACCGCCGCCACCACCACCACCGCCGCCACCACCTCCACCTCCACCACCACCTCCACCTCCACCTCCACTTCCACCTCCACCTCCACCTCTACTGCTTTTCGCTCCTTCGCTCTTCCTCCGTCTCGCGTTCTCAGCGGGTTATCTCATTTCTGCTACAGCCGATTCTAGCCTCTCCTACTCCTTCTCTCTCTCCCTCTCCTTCTATTCTACCTATCTCTCTATCTCACTCTCTCTTTCTCTCTCTCTCTCTTTCGGGCGCTCGCTTACCAAACGTTCTCGTGTGCCGCCACCGCCGAACGAGCGGTCTGCACCCCTCGGCTCGGCACACATTCACACGGCCTGCAAGCCGCGTGATCTTATTCCAGACATCCTTCCCGCGGGAAGGGCGCGGGAAGGAGCCACCGGCAATTCCGAGCCCTTCGGATTCAATTTGTCGGCCGGTCTAAAGTTTTTCTTCAATGTGGTTTCTTACGTGTCATCGTTCGGCCGGGATTATGATGATTGTCGGCGCACGCCGCGTTCCTTGGCGCCGACCTCGACACGTCACGTGACTCCGCAACCTCCCTCAACTAGGGTGACCATATCCCAGTCATAAGAAAACACTAAAGACGGGCAGAAAAAAGAGTGTATAAAAGAGTGCTAATTACGGTCCCAAAAGAGTACAGCAAGTAGAACACAAAATCATATAAAAGTCAAGGTGACGTCAAATAATATAAAAATTATGTCATTTGACGTCGAAACGATTTTGTGTTTTACCTGGGACAATGATTGCCAGGTAATAATATTCAAAATAAAACATAGTGGGTACCGAGAAATAAACCGAGAAATATTAGTCGAACACGTATATTTTATTATATTATTAAGATATTTTATAATTATATTTTGCAGCACTACTCCGTACATCGCTTGACAATTTCGGTTTTCACTGTTGTCGTTACCAAAGAGCGGGACATCAGCGCCGCTTTTCACTCGCAAACAGCCAGAAACGCTACGCGCCAGTGTCGATTGTGCCGCACGACTTATAAGAACCAACCGCACCATTGCGCAGATCCTCTGCGCATAATCGGTATTGGCGCTCGCGGCGCTCAAATGCTGTGAGTGACGAAAACGTCACCGAAGTCTGCTCTCTGGTCATTATCGACATTATAGTATAGTTGACATTACGGAAAAAGAGTGCACACAAGAGTACGATACGTAAAAAGTAGAGAGTACTCTTTTTACCACCTTAAGAAGAGCACATACGGTCACCCTACGGCCGCAACCCTAGTTTGCACCGTGCTCTCTCGTTACCGACCGATCAGCCGTCTCGATCGCCAAGAATCGTGTTCCTTCGTTTCGATCTTCCGCCCCCTTTTCACCCTGCAAGCGGTGTGCTCGCGATACACGAGTGCGTATCTGGACGCTCCGCGTTTGACTCCACGGCTTATTTTACACCCCAACCGCGCGCACCCTCGAGAAAGAACACGAGAGGTTGCGCTGACATATTTTTATCGAGACGCGAAAGCCACAGAATCTCCTCAGGGAGGCCGCTTAAATCACAGATTCCCTCATCGGAGCGAGATGTCGGAGGGGAAAAGTGATCGGACACGCATCGCGACCCCGCGACACCGCGCAGGATTAATAATATCCGGGTCGCTCCGTTACACTCGTCACATCGTCGAACAATAAAAGAGATAAGAAAAGACAGGGGCGCGTAGTAAACTTACTAGTTTCCGTCCTCTTTCTTTTCAAAAATGTCAACGTCGCACTTTCTGCCTCTCTTATGCGCCGGTCGCGCGAGCGAAGACACGACCGTCGCAGGTAACCACGATCGTCCTGCGCGACGACGCCATGAACTGACAAATAGCGCAAAAACGCGCGTCTTCTTCGACCCCCCGCACTCTAGCGTTCAACCCCCCCCCCCAACTTTCGCAAGTGGTCCCGATGCCAGATTACATCGCTCGCAGGCGTCGCTGTGTGGAGAGCCGCGTGGCGGTGCGTGCTACCGTTTGCTCAGGACCGGGTTTTCGAAGTACAACAGTGCCATTGTATACGCACAAAGCCGAGCAAATCGCTATAATATAGCCAATACCGGGGGCCACACTGGCACACACACAAAATGGCTGAGAATCGCGTCAAAGTCCTGTGCCGAAAGTAATATAGTCCGCAATTAACATCGACGCCAATATAGTGCCGTTATGACTCTCGACGGTCGCACAAATCCGCCGTTAAATAATTCACTCTCCCGCGCGCATCATTGTGTATCAGCGCGCGAGGTTGCCGCGTTATTTAATCGAGTAAAGGACGGCTCCCTCCCCTGAACCTGTCACCGCTGTCCGGCTACATTTTAGCACATGGAGCGTACAGAGTCACTTAATATATCGATGGTGAATCAGAGATAAGGAGAGAGGCGATTAGTTTCGACGCGAGCTATGTGTAAGAAGACATATTGTCGAGGAGATATGGACAAAAACGGTAAGACGTTATATCGGTGCACATACAGCGCCGGGGGAAGCGGGGCGGGGCGGGGGGGGGGGGCTCGCGTACAACGGCGTGGCCGGCGCTTTGTGCCACTCCCGCGATTGTAGTTAGAAATGAGTCGATATTTCAACACACAATAGAGAGCGCAGACCGGAGCCCGTTACGAGCTCCATCTCTCAAGTATTTCATTCTTCAATCAATCGAATATATTACATCGATAGGCAACGTTTAAAGTCACGTTGGTTAACCGCGCGAAATTCTGGGACGTAATATTTATATATATGTATATATATATATATATATATACACGCGCGGGAAGGGAGGAGGGGGGGAGGTACACCGCGTATTTCCCGTCTCGTTGCATTAATTGCGCGGTAATTGTTTCAAACGTGGTTGAGCTTCCGGCTGTTCTCAGGATCCCGCATAACACCTTCCCCCGATGGTCCCTTCCCTTCCGCCCAGCCGCGAAGTTTCGTCGGAAAGCGCCCGCTCAAACGACGAATATTGAGCGTTGTTTCTTCGCGCACTTCAATCTCGCGCGAGCGACTTCATTGTCGAAGCGCACTCCGCGCTGCGAATCGCTCGCGCGCGCGAGTAGGGAATAAAGGAAAGGAGAAAATTAAAAACCGCCCCGAACGAACTCGCCCCGCCGCTGAATTCGCACGAAACACGGCGAGACAACAATGTCGTTGTTTGCGCGCGGAGCGGAATATGCGACGCTAAACCGCTGCCGCTTTGATCTTCAAGCGACACGCGCGCGCGCGCGCGCGCGCGCGCGAGGTCGCGTCTCGAAGATTTTCATTAAAATAAGTGTATCATCAATTTGCGACCTCGTCGCGTCTTAATCTGCCGCACTTCGAAACTTGACTTACGCCACTTTCAGTATTAACAGCTCAATTAACCCCGCGAGAAACTTGGCCGCAATTCGCGCCGCGGTATCTCGCATATCTCATTAATCGCGCGATTGCGCGTTTAATGAAGTGCAAATGTCTAAAACGTACTCGCAGATTAATTGGCGCGCGACTATTCTTAGACGCAGTCAAACTTTCGTCGAATATCTCCTCGTGGGCGAAGAGATTCGGAAGTTTCGGCTATGCGAGGCTTTAGATTGGAGCAGATAGTTCTGCTTGGATTTACGCGCGCATTTCCAGCTGCGCAGCTGCACCGCTGCGGGAAGTTCCTGCTTGTTGAGAAACCGGTCGCATCGATCGCGCCACGATCGATTCGGAAGTAATGATACAAAAGTTAGAGAAAGTGATAGTCCTCCTCCCGTGTGTCTCAAGTGAAAATACTTTTCGCCTGCCACGTTCGCCAACGAGACAATCGCGAAGCGCGAGCCGCGATTCAATACGACTCCGGATTCCGCGCGGTGACGATTGAGAGCGCCCTAATCGTCTTCATTAACGTGGCGCATGTCGAAATGCGCATGGTTCCGCGCGCCCGCTCGCCGCTCATGAATCGCTTTGATGCATGATTTGCTGCTTAAACGTAGAGTCGCCGCGGAAGCGTCATGGACCGGCCAGCACGCTCTTTATGCCGACGTATCTACGCCCGCAATTTATCTCTCGCCTCCTGCGCTCCTCCGCGGCGCTGCCTTTCCACTCCTTTTGTCGCTTTTCTTTTCTCGCCTCCTGCCCCGCCGACTCCTCCGTCGCCGTTGTCGTCGTCTTCTTCTTCTTCTTCCTCCTTCGTCCCGTGAATCTTGACCCCGGAAACGTCGCGGAGAAAGGGCGAGCCGCGAGCTCGCGCGAGCGGAGACAGAAGAAGGGCGCGAAAGGGAGAGGAGATGGTTGAAATATCACCGAGACATCATTCGTTACCCGCTGCGTCGTTTATCCGTATCGCCACCCTCCTTATGACCGCATAAAACCGCCTTCCATCCCCATTCATGACGGCGGCACGGCGATGCGACTTGCTGCGGAGCGAAGCGGACTGCCGAACAGAGGCAGTCGGCCGATTGGCGAATCGAGCGCTCGAGATTCGCGAAATCGCACTTTAATAGGACGCTGCGAGTGAGGCGCAAGAGAGAGAGAGAGAGAGAGAGAGAGAGAGAGAGAGAGAGAGAGAGAGAAAGAGAAAGAGGGGGGAGGAGGGAGGGAGAGAGAGAGAGAGAGAGAGAGAAGCAGAGGCAGAGCGAAAAAGAACGGAGAGGAAGGCGAGGGAGAAAACAGGACGCTTTTTTCGGTCGTACCCGGGCTCGCCGGCATTACTCTTACGAGGACAGGAAGAGCAGCGAGGCGCTAGGCGGAGGGCCGAGACCCCTGAATTATCGCGCGGAGTTATTTCTTCTTTCTATATATCGTTCTTTACCTCGGATGCGCGCACATGTACGAAGCGCAGGGCTGGGCGTCGCCGTGTGCGGACGCCGCGTTAGTCTGAGCCGCGAGAGATCTAGGGCGTTCGTAAGAAGTTAGAGAAGAATATGTACTCTCCCTTTCTGCCCCTCCCTCCCTTTTTCCCTTTCTCTCTCTCTCTCTCTCTCTCTCTCTCTCTCTCTCTCTCTCTCTCTCTCTCTCTCTCTGGCTGTCGTTTTCTTTC